GGTTCAAAAAGTGTGTCCATTTTACCTTCTGTCAGAGGCAGATTGAAGAAGTATACTGCTGAGGGGAGCAGCAGGCAGGTCAGGAGAGGGCTGCCGCGCCATGTGGGACATCTCCGGGGTAGGGATCGAACTCGCACTGAAGTGGCTGTGGCTAGCTTGAAGTGGTGTGCTCTAACCCATTGCGCCACCAGGGAGGGCCCCAACACTTCTTTTTATAACAGTGTCAAATATCCTCTTTTTTCTGAAATTCATAGTGCACCTACACACATAATTTAAAAAATCAAGATTCTTGTGATATAAAAATTAAATGATACTAATTTAAAAAATAAATACATAAACAAGAGGACCTGATTACAGCCGCCCCTCCCCTTCCTTAGCCATTGAAAGCGCTGCCCCAGTGGATCTGGGATGTGTTCTGGATCTGAAATTGTGTGCTTTCCACAGCTTCTCAAGGGTACAGCAATTTCCCCAACAAAAGTTAAGAGCCTTAGCCAGGTGATCCTTAGGGTTGTGATTGTTAAAACGAGCCATGAGGTTCACGAATTCCACCTCCTGCAGGTATGTGTCTCTGGGCAGCCCCTTCCTTGTTTCTGAGGCAGAATGTCATTCCTGGCAGCGCCAGCTCAGGCCTGCTCCTTGGTCCAAGGAGCAAATCTTCTTGGTCAAAGATTTCTCCAGCATGATCAGGCCTGCTTCTTGGTCCAAGGAGCAAATCTTCTTGGTCAAAGATTTCTCCAGCATGACGGTTTGTTAAGGCCCTATCACCTAGCACAGAGAGGAAGCTTCTTTCCAGAAAGACCACTTATCTGAAAGACTTCTGTCTGAGAGAGAAAAGCAACGACTTATACTTACTTCAGTTTAAAGGTCCCTTCCTTTAAACGGATACAAGTGGAATCATCTGGCACTTGGCACATTCACCTTTTTCTATGAACATCATGAAGAAAGGGGTGGTTGATGTGCCTACTCCAGGTCTCAACTACATTTTACTCAGGAGCAGGAAAGGGGAAAGGTCAACTTTGAGGATGAAATAGTTTTTGTTTTGTGGCAGGAAAGTGAGAGAAGACCTGGACAGAGAAGGGGCGAAGCTAATGCTTTTGTTTCCATACTTCCTTTTCTTGAACAACTTCTAAAAAAAAGGGGGGGGGGGAGGCTCCATTAAAAGCAGTCTGTTTCTTGGCCAGAGTTTGTAAGATTTCTCTGCCAACTGTATGCCCATTTCCTCTCCCTGGAGAAAACAGCTGCTAATAAGTTCTTTATACTATCAAATATTTTCTATCCTTTTATAAGCACTGTGTTTCCTTTTATATAGGAAGTGTACACACACAAACATACATTCACAAGAATGTTAATTCAGTACTGAAGGAATTTTGAAACTTGTCATGGATCTGAGAAAACTTTACCTTTAGGTCAAGCACCTTGGGCATGCACAGAAATCAAATAGCAAAGCCACTTTCCCTCCAGTATATAAATTAAGAAAAATATTATAAACTGTTTACAGATTATTCTGCACCTTACTTTTTTTTTCCTTTTTAAAGATTTATATATTTATGCATACAGAACTGGGGTACAGTTCAGAGGTGCAAGGGCGGAGAGAGGATTCACCAGAGACAGACTGGGGAGCAGAACAGGCAGATTGACACTGCTGCAGGGAGCAGCTGCTGTGCCATGTGGATCACTGCTCTGGGCGGGGAATCCAACTCATGCTGAAGCAGCTGCGGTCTGTTGCACCACCAGGAAGGCCCCTGCAACTTGCTCTTTTGGTCTTTGGTCTTGTAGTTCCCCCAGTCACTTCTTACAAGCTAACCTTTCCTTTCATATTGGAATGATATTTTGTCATACAGATTGCCATATAAACTGTTTTAAGCCATTTTCTTTTGAACATTTGGGTTTTCCCAATCTTATTACAAAAAAAGTGGTGCAGTGAGCATCTTTGTCCATTTATCTTTCTGCAGGATAAATTCCTGGTTCAAAAAGTGTGTCCATTTTACCTTCTGTCAGAACTGAACAGTCAGGCTTTCCAGGACCCAAATCAGGCAGCATTGGTAACCGAGGGAAATTCCAGCTCTTGTCACTTCCTCATTGAGTGACACAGTGACCTCCTTTTTATATAAACTCGGACTAGTGCTGAACTCAGTTATTTTGAGGAATGGTGAAGTAATACAGATTGCTAATGCAGTGCCCAGACATTTAAGGAGCCATTGTTACTGTGACTTTATTATAACAACTGCTACTACTAATTCTGCTTCCCCTTTCAAGGAGCAGTGCAAGCCCTAACTCCCCTAAAGACTTCACAGGCTATAGGGTCCTTTCCTTTAAACTGATACAGGTGGGATCATCTGGCACTTGGCACATTCACTTTTTTTCTGTGAATATCTTCTCATTTCGGCTTGACTAAATTTCAGAAGGTGAAGGAGCACTGCTTGTGCCAACTTCACCCTCATTACCTACCACACTCGGTGGTATTGCTGAGTCAACAGAATTGTCCATAAGCGCTTAGTTAGAACAGCCTGACTGGTTTTCTGCTTCCCCTCAGATGTCCTGCGGTTTGATAACACCTACAGCTTCATTCATGCCAAGAAGGTCAGTTTCACGGTGGAGGTCCTGCTTCCAGACAAAGCTTCAGAAGAGAAGATGAATCAGCTGGGGGCAGTCACCCCAAAGTAATGCCTCCTCCCAGCAGGCCTGGCTCCCTTGGTGTCTCCCTGTCAGTTTCTATCCCTTGTAGCAGCCATTTCCCAGCAGCACCCTGAAGCCCAAAGAAATTGGGCTGGAAAAATGACCTCAGGCTGGATCTGGGGGGCTTTTATTTCAGAATTCGGAAGAGACAGAGTTCCAGGAGTGGGTCTCCTTGCCTCTCAAATTGAGGAGTCCTCAGGGGCTGGGCACCATGATAGAATCTGTCTTGCGAGCTGTGCCAACTTCACCTGTCGAGTAACAGCTAAGATAGGAAGAGGTGTACCCTAGGTTGGTAGCAGGGGGGAAACTAGAGAACAGGGGAGAAACTGAGATCTAACTTTTCAGGGATGCCAGTTGCAAGGAGGAACTTGTTCCCACAGAGCCTGTTTAAGTCTAGATCATAATGAGGAGTAGCAAGGTAGTCTGTTGCTAGAATGATAGTGGGGGGGGTCAGAGGCTCTCCTAAACTTTCTGTCCCTGGGGCTGGGATCTTTTTGGCTCTTCCCAGGTCTTGAGAGGTGGCCCAAGTCAGCAGAGCTCTTCCCATCCAGGGGTGGACGGACAGGCCTCTCCTTCTTGAGAACTTCCGTAACTCGTGCCCTCGGCCGCCTCTTTAATTACTAATGATCGTCAGTGCCTCAGCGCTTCCTGAGACAGCGAGCTGTGGTGCCTAGCACTGTCCTCCAAACAAAAGCACAGGGAAATCACTTCCAGTGGTCATAGTTCCACGAAGGCCCACGGAGGCTGGGGTGAGAGTGAGGTCTAAAGTGTCCACTCCCCTTTTCAGTGCTTCCAGCCTCTTACCAAGTTAACTCTCCATTTGAGGACCCCCAGACAAAACTGAGACAGGTCAGTGAGGGGACTTCCCCGTCTGAGTGTCTCGCTTTGCCGGCGAGAGGCTTCCTGGCCAACAGAGGCAGGGCCTTGGCAACCTCGCTTCACTGCGGGGTTGGGGCGCCACTGCGGGGTTGGGGCGCGTGCAGTGGGATCCTCGCGCACGCCCGTTTGGCGTCTGGTGGAGCCAGGAGCTAGGAGCCACAGTCTCTCAGACAAGCAGGATGGCCATGGGGGCGCACTGCCAGCAGCTGGAGCCGCCACCGTCGCGGCAACCAAGCACTTAGCGCAATCGCACATCCCGCAATAGCACACCGGCTGCTGGGGGGGCTTAGGACACGGGAAGGCGGCCCAACCGGGCCCTCGCGGGTACTCCTCTCCCTCTGAGCCAGGCGCGGGCCCAGCCTGGGAAGCTGGTCCAGTGCCGCCACGGTGCAGGAGTAGGGGTTGGGCCGGTGCCAAAGGGACGGGACCCGAGGCCGCACAGGCCCCAGCCAGACCCCACAGATTCCGACCTTGGTTTACAACGCTCTGTTAGGAAAATTAACCAATGAATAAAGCAACGTTCAGTGCGCAGGGTGTGGAGGTCCATATCGACCGCGTCGCTCCTCAGCGTTCCTCACAGCCGAACTCCCACCTCGGCAGTCTAACGACACCTACTCCAGGGGCGGGGCGCATGCGCAGACGCCCCCCGCGTCCTTCTAGCGCGTGCGCTTTCCCTTGGGGCCGAAAGCCATCTCGCGTCCTGATTGGTCCAGGTGGTGGGCTGTCTTCCGCCATCTTTGTGAGGTCAATAACTGACCTCCCAGCCGCCTTCACTGTCAGGGCAGAGGCCCCGCCCCACTAGGACAACTCTTAGCGCCCGCAGTTGCTCTTCAGCGCCGGCAAGTGCCAGTCAGGCGAACGCGCGCCAAGCCAGTGGTGGGCCGCGAATGGTGCGGAGGCGGAGGAGCGGCGGTCACGTGGTGTTAGGGACCGTCTCAGAATTCCGTGCTAGCACTGCCGGTATTTCAGGGTCTGGGGATCAAGTTTGGACCCGGATCCCTTTTTCCCACGAGGTCACCGCCGTCAGGCGTGCCCTAACGACCCTACAGCGACAAAAACGCCCGGGACTGAATACGGAACCGTCAGTGGGGAACGCGATGGCCTTCGTTTCCTCGGTCTTTAATTGATGATAATAAAAGGCAATTCTTCCCTGAGCTACTAATGGTGCTACGCAATAATCCTGCTTATTGCCTGGGCTTGTTGCAAAGTTCAAGGCGGTAACATGTAAAGCGCTTAGTAGGGTGCAGGACCCTATACAAATAAATAAGCGCTAGGCTGATATTGGCTACTCTCGTTTTTTAGATGAGGGCAATGGGCCTCGGGGCCTTCCAGCTAAGGGGCTGCCTCACTGGGTTTGAACCCAAGATTGCCTGTCTTTAGTGGCGCGACTTTCCTTGGCAGATGCCATAAACCGAGGTCTAGCAGGTGGGCGAGTTTCTTGCTGTGTACACAATCACTAACCCCTATGTACCCCCATTCTGTTCTGTCCATTCCCCTGGAGTCTATTCTCCAGCCCTGTTATTCATTCATTCTTTCAACGTGCTGCCCCAAGGGGTTGGCTTTGGAGCACACTGATCTTTTTTTTTATTTTTTTTTTGGTTCCCACACTGCACTTGTTAGTACTTGATAGATGAACATGGCATCTGCCAGACAGGGACCCCAGGGTCTAAACTGCCATCTCGCGGGGGGGGGGGTTAGTGAGGGGGGGCCGAGGGGGAGGGTGTTCACCATTCACTCCCCCAGCCTCATGGCATCATCATAAGAGGGCGGGATCTGGAGCCACACGGCCAGGATTCAAGTTCTTCACCACTTTACATCGCTAAGACCTGGGGAAGTGGCCCACGTTGGCCTCTATTTCCTCACATACAAAATAGGGGTCCCAGGCCAGGGAGAGGAAGTAGTCCGTCTAGAGCCCTTAGTGATCAGCCCTGCAGGTAATAACCACCACCCGCGATGACAGTTAACAATTACCCCTCGTCACCGCCCCAGGGAGCGCTGGCTGTCGCGGTCCCTAAGGAAGGAACCGGTAACGAGGCTCAGAGAACGACAGACTTTACCCCAGGTCACACAGGTCGGAAGGATAGCACACCCTATTTGAACCCGGATCGCTTTGGCTCCCGAACTTGTCAGTCCTGGAGAGGATCGCACCAATCGTTCATCCTTGAACAAAAATGTGGAGAAAATTAAGCTGATCTCCCAAACCAGAGGGGCTTCAGTGCGCGGGGGAATTTGCAGACGCTCCCTGCTGGCGGGGACGGAACGACGTGTGTCCTTCAGTCCGGGACCTTCATTCGGCTCTGCCACCACGAACAGGTTCTTCGGTGGAAGCCGAGGCGGCAGCGGAGACAGGGCAGGCTGCAGGGGTCGGCCGGACCCACAGCGGGAGAACCATGTCCGAGCCGCACCAACCGAGTGCCGATCGCGACCTTTTCCGAGACACGTGGGTGCGATACCTGGGTGAGTAAGCGCTGGGCAAGGGGGTTGGGGACGCCCCCTACCACGGTAATGGCGGTCACCTAAGGCGGGTCTGGGGCCGGGAGGTGGTGGGAGGATCAGAATTCTTATTCCGTTGGTCGGGAGACTGGGCTCAGAGAGGGCTAGGGACTTGCCCAAGGTCACATAGCACTGGGCAGTCCAGGCCCAGCCTCCCAGGTGGTAGCTGAACCTTGCTAGGAGGAACAAGGTGAGGGCTTCCCTCTCTGCCATTCCACACTGACCACCTGGGTATGAGGGTATTTGCACCCCTTATTGCTTATATCTGAGTTTGTTAACTCTGCAGAAAGAGATCAACACAGGGATATGGGGTGTGGGAGTTATAAGGGGATGAAAAAAGGCACAGAAAGTCCTGGCACATGGAGAATGCCTGGCTAGTGCCCTTGCTGCCCTTGCCTGCACTTCCAAAGCCCTGGCTGGGAAGGCGCATGGCGATGCTAGTCAGCATCAAAGCTCTCCCACTGCTTTTCCCATCATGCGCTAGAATCAAGGAGGGCATCATGGGTGCCATTTTATAGGCTGAGAAACTGAGGCGAAGTCATGTCTGAGGCCACCAGTTTACTGCTTCCCCGGCTGGGGTTAGAACCAGCTGGCTCTAGTGTCCTCTTTTGGTAACGGAGTTAAATGTCCCCTCCAACTAGGCTACGCCAATGAAGTTGGGGAGGCTTTCCGCTCCCTTGTGCCAAAGGCTGTGGTGTGGCTGAGCTATGGTGTGTCCAGCTCCTACGTGCTGGGCGATGCCATCGACAAGGGCAAGAAGGCAGGAGAGGTGAGTGTCAGCCTGCCCCTCAGCAGCCCCCCACCGCCACCCCAGTTCACTCCCCTGGTGGTTCAGTTCACAGCCCTGCATGTAATAAAGCCCACCCACCCCTATGATGTCACCTGCCCCAACCCTGAATGTGGTATAGTCCAGAACCTACCAGTGGCGTAGTCTTGTCATTGCCCCTCACTGGCCCGCCTCACGCCCCTTGTCCACAGGGCTTCCTCCCTCTGCTCCACTTGGATTGTCTCTTGTTCCTGCCAGATGCCGAGCCCTGAAGCAGGCCACAGCACCAGGGTGACCGTGGCTGTGGTGGACACCCTTGTGTGGCAGGCTCTGGCCTCTGTGGCCATCCCAGGTTTCACCATCAACCGTGTGTGTGCTGCCTCTCTCTATGTCCTGGGCACGGCTACCCGCTGGCCTCTGGCCATTCGAAAGTGGACCACCACCGCGTTAGGGCTGCTGACCATCCCCATCATCATCCACCCCATTGACAGGTAGGTGCCTTCCCAGCTCAGGGAAGGTTGGGGTGTGAGCACTTTGCACAGGACCATGCTGGCTGAGGCAGGGCTGGCACGTGGTGCTGCTGAGGTAGAAGGAATCGTCTGCTTCCTTGTCACATGGTCTGGCAGGAACTTTGGTGGTAAGGTGGGGGAGGGGCACCTGGAGGGAATGGGACACAGGACAAGTCAATTCCCAGAAACAAAACCTAGTGGTGCAAACAAACCAGAGGCAGGCCTGCGTAGGTGAGCCTGGAGGAGGTGGGTTTGGAAAGGTTGTGCTGGAACTGGACTAAGTAAAGTAGAAATTGTCTTGTGAACCTGAAAAAGCCCAGGGTTGTGTTGCTTTCAGGCATGGCTAGATCTAGGCACCCAAATGATGTCTGTAGGGACCGAGGTCTCCCAGACTGTCGTCCTCCCCAGCACTCCCCATGTGGACTCCACTCACATTCCCCTTGTGAGAGTAGAGATGCCCCCAGCACCTCCCAGCTTCCACCCACCAATTTGGCAAGCCCCATGGAAGCTTCTTAACAGTGGCAGCAGCATAAATGCCAAGAAAGGTTGTCATTGGTCCATCCTAGACAGGGTCCCCACCCCTGAGCCAGTTTCCCTTTTCTAATTGGCCAAGCCTGGGTCATGTTCTTAGACCCAGAGCTAGGTTCAGTCCAACTAAACCAATATAGAGTGGGAGAAGGCTTTCTCCAAGGGAACATAATTTTCCCTCACAGTGCCTCAGTTTCCCCAAGTGAATAAAGCAGAGGACGGTGGCTGCCACCCAGATGGGGCCTGTGTCCTACACCTAGGCGCCCCCCTCCTTAGTCTTGATCTGCCTCGGGTTTCCCCACTAGCACTCCTGCCCATCACACTCCCTGCCCCACAGGTCTGTGGACTTCCTCCTGGACTCCAGCCTTCGCAAGCTCTACCCGGCAGTGCAGAAACCCAGCTCTTCCTGACCTCACCTGGTACCTGGCCTGTGGGTTCACTTTCTCCCTGCTCTGTTCCAACTTCCCCCTGCCTGGGGACGCAAGTGCCTGGCTTCCTGATGGCTGAGGCCTTGGCACCTGAAGTGAGTTTGAGCTGGATGGAACCTGAGACAAAGGCCGAACGAGGCAGCAGCTGCAGTGAGTCACAGACAGGTAGAATCTGCCCCATCTGCTTCCACGGAATTCGTGACACTGGGTGGGAGTGGATCCTTAGTGGCCTAAGCCTGTCTTTTGCCTGGAAAATAACACACTCTCATGGAGGATAAGGAGACTGAGGCCCAGAGAGTGCAAAAACTACAGTCAAGATCACTTGGACCCAGGACTCTAAGCGCTTGGCTGAGTCACACCGGCTAATGTCCTTGTCACGTGGTCTGGCAGGAACTTTGGTGGTAAGGTGGGGGAGGGGCACCTGGAGGGAATGGGACACAGGACAATTCCCAGAAACAAAACCTAGTGGTACAAACAAACCAGAGGCAGGCGCACGTAGGTGAGCCTGGAGGAAGTGGGTTTGGAAAGGTTGTGCTGGAACTGGACTAAGTAAAGTAGAAATTGTCTTATGAACCAGAAAAAGCCCAGAGTTGTGTTGCTTTCAGGCATGGCTAGAGCTAGGCACCCAAATGATGTCTGTAGGGACCGGGGTCTCCCAGACTGTTGTCCTCCCCACCCCTGGCTGGAGAAGCAGCAGGAGAAACACCGAAATGCAGGGGCTGATGCCCCAGCCAGCCCACCCCCATCCCGGTGCAAGGGGTGCAGGCCGGCTAGAGGCAGGACAGCCCTGGGCAGACACTGGCCAGCCCTCGCCAGACCCAATAAATCTTCATGAGAATGAGTTTCTTCTCCTTTTCTGTTGGGGAGGAACAAGGGCCTGGGGTTCGGGTCATGGTGCTTGCCAGCCTCCTTTGAGGTAGGGCAAGCCTTCTGAGCATGCACCTCTGGGAGGGGAGCTGGTGGGTCAGATATCACCTCAGCTTGAAGGTGCCCGAGATGAAGCCCCCCCCATGTCAGTGTCACCTGAGGTGCCCATTAAGAGACTCTGGAGAAGAGGAAGTGATGGTGGGGCCTTGGGTCCCTCTGGCTCAGCCTTGCCGCCAGCCACTAGTCAGTTTCGGGTCAACATCCTGACCCTGAGTGGCCCTCCAAACAGTCCCTCTGTCCCTTCCATCGCTTCCCTTCAGCTCTTCCCACCCAGGGTCCCCTCTGGCCTTGGTTGCCCCCTGGTGGTCCCACATGGTAAAGCACTACCTCAGCGAGTGCACGTGTACCGATGCCTGGCCATAGCAGGTGGTCACACCAGGGATTTGCAGGCATTCTCAGACCAGGCTGGTGGGGCCTCGGACAGCCTGCCTGGGGCCTAGGGAGGAGAGACACCCGCTTTCCCTTTCCCTGCTCTCAGCTCCATTTTGGAGATGCAGTGGTTGAAGGGAGGGACGAGCAGGAGGTCTCTGGGCAAGCCCTGCTGGCGTGGCCACACTGTCCATTCTGCAGCCATGCCAGCCTGGGCTGGACTGCCAGGACACAGAGGAATGTGTTCACCGGATGTCCTCGGGCCAGCGAGGAGGGAGCTCCAGCCTGATGCCTGCCACTGTACTCTGGCACCGGCCTTCTTCAACCCTGTGGTGCCAGCCACGTGGTTTCTGTTGTGCTGTTGAACGCTTGTAGCTTCCGCTGACTTGCGAGGTTCAAGGGACAGGGCTGCCTGGAACCTGGGGGTACCTGGGAATTTCTGGGGACTGGGGCAGCGCCGGGGTGGACTGCTATTGAGCCGGTAGCAGTTGGAGTACGAAGAGGCTGTCATTTCTCCTGTTTGCATGCCCTGTTCTTAGCATCCTTAGTAGCGCCATGGAGAAGTGAAACTACCACCCCCATTTCCAGATAAGGAAGCTCAAGATCACAGGAGGGAAGGCCTTGCGGTCTACCACTGGCTACAAATTAGCGCATCATTCTCTAAGCAAAACAGGCTTTTTAGCAGGGCAGGGAACTTGAACAAGACTCAGAAACAGGCCCAGAGAGGGCGAGTGACACTGAGCCCAGGGCCACGCTGAGACGTAGCCACTCGGGCTCCCCGCACCAGGGAGGATCTCGTGTCCCCCCAGATCTCTGAGAAGGTGGTGGGATTCTTTCCCGACCTGGTCTCCACACCCCCTGCAGACACCGAGCAGCACCCCCATTGCCGTGGTCCAACACCAAGTCCGCTCTCCAGCCAGGCGTGGGTGCTGCCCAGAGCCCCTGTGCCTGCCTTGGGCCCTGCACCTGGGTCCCTCAGGAGGAAAAGGTGGCCTGG